GATAGATAGATAGATAGATAGATAGATAGATAGATAGATAGATAGATAGATAGATAGATAGATAGATAGATAGATAGATAGATAGATAGATAGATAGATAGATAGATAGATAGATAGATAGATAGATAGATAGATAGATAGATAGATAGATAGATTGGCTAAAAGGAAAATTTAAAGTCGGACCCGCCTTCGGCTAGTCCGACTAAAAAGCCTTAGCAAATAACGCAATTCAAACACAAGCCAAACTCATGCAACCGCTGTCCTGTTTATGGCGTGTTTGTTAGGGACATCCTTGAATCGACTCTCGACACGGTTTGGACTTGAACCGCTGATCGTATGTAGTGTCTTTTCTGATAGTGAAATCCTAAAATCGACACTGTGTTCCGAATAAAAGGCTACTCGCTTCGCTCGCAGCAACTAGCTTCGCTCGCAGCAACTAGCTTCGCTCGCAGCAACTAGCTTCGCCGTAAAGCATTTGTCGCACTCTGTATTCTTCTCAGGACATATCTTTATAATCTTCTATGAAATCGCAAAAAAATACAGCTATAAGCCTACATTTAGAAAACCCCGAAAGCTTGTTGAAATTATAAAATACAAATATTTACCTGTTTAAGAGTAGTGCTTCCAACCGGCTGCTCGCCTATCTTCCTTGGCTTAGCGTGTCCCCAACCAGTAGCCCAACAAATTTTTCCATCAAGAAAACGCTTTGTTGGAAGGCAAATAGGACGGACTTTGTCATTGAACGTAATTTTGTTTTTCAGTTTCAGTACTGCAATATCATATTCTGTATGACCGGTTTTGTTGAATTCAGAATGTCGGATGATCTTCGCAATTTCCATTACCTGCTCGTCACCTTCCTGTTTCTCTAGGTTAAGCTCACCTGATGATTGAGATAACGACTCTGTTCAGTAGGAACCTTATCAAGGAAAGGCCTATTGTTCTAGACCATTGTTCAAAGGACGATCAGCGTTGCCCCCATAGCGTTTATGCAATAGATCAAAGACGAGTGCAAGTGTTTCATCAGGGGATCCAAATACCCGGGGGGGGGACTCCCTAATATCAAAGGGCGGGGGTCCTCGGCGTCCCTTTTAGGGTTTGAAATCACTATTTTGGTCCCGCTTAGGGTGATCATGACAAGAATTCCTACCAACTGTGTTTTGTGGTCCATTTTAGGGTATACGGCGACCCTAAGTAGTCATAAAATGGCAACGTCGTCATAAACTCAATACGAGCCGACGGTGTTCGATGATTGTGTAAAAACACAAATAAAATCGGTAAACTAAAAGAAAACCTGTTATTGATTGGTCCCTTTTAGGGTTGAAATTTCAGCACTGCCACGCCCATCATCTCACAATAGAGGTCCGTTTTAGGGGTCATTTTCACAATCTCTGCCGAGGACCCCCGCCCTTTGATATTAGGGAGTCCCCCCCCCCCGGGTCCAAATACCGAGGAACTGATGAAAGCACGAGGCCGCAGGACGAGATGTTTTGATTCCCCTGATGAAAAAAAAAGCACGACTTTTTGATCTGGCTTCTCAAACAAATTAATAATGAATTACTCCTTTGCAATAAGAAGTATGTTTAGAAGAAGTATGTATGTTTTTTTATGGGATTTCATGCGAGAGGTTAAAGTTCCGATTCACTGGCGCTGAAACATAAGTTAAAAAGCAAAAATAAAATAGAAATAAATGTAATATGTTAAGTCATCATGTAGATTAGATTAGGGAGAAGGAGAAAAGAAAGAAAGAATAAAAAGAGAAAATAGTATGTAAAAGCTAAAAAAAAATATCAGATGAATGTAATATTTTGTATAAAAAGAAATATGCAGCTCTACTATTTGGATATCTGAGGAAACTCCTAGGACTTGTATAATCCAAATCCTAGGAGATGAATCTCATTTGCATGCGGTGTTGGATCAAGATATCCAAATGCATACACGTGACCCTAAAGAGATCAAATGATTGGGCATGAGTTTGAGAATTTAAGATAAAATAGGATTAGCGCTAATCGGCCTTTGAATAACGGAGAGAGAACAATAAGCCACCAGTTGATAGTCAAATATTGTTTCACGTGTTTGATGGTCTCACTCTATGTGGATTCCTTTGTTTTGTAGTATCTACCCCACTCTATTTAGCGCTACTGAGCACTATTTGCATTGTGGACGTCAATACTTTTTAATAGAACAATCGCGCATTCGCTTATGAACACCAAAACAATGGCTTCATTTCGAGTCTGGAGTTATATTTTTATTCGAAAAAATCCAGCCTCGAAGTGAATGTTTTCGTGTTCATCTAAAGCTTGGATTTCACTAGCGCATAAGTATAGCATAAGCACAAGCATGAGAATCATATGCGCCAGTGAGAACGAGCTGGACATAAGCATAAGACATTGAGCATGCGCACGAGCATATTATTTCGGTACAAGGCTATGCTTATGCCTATGCAGTCCCGTTCTTACTGAGCATAAGCATGAGATAAGCATGAGGTAAGCACAAGAAGATCAAGCCTTGCTACTTTTTTCTTGTGCTCATGCTTATGCTTATTTTGAACCCGTTCTCACTGTCGCATATGACTCTATAGTGCTTTGTGCTTATGCCTGTGCTTATGCGCTCGTGAAATCCACGCTTAAGCGAATGCTGGATGGAATGGTCTTATGTTTAAGCGTTGCACTCTACTTGTTTATATTATATTGTTAATGTGTTAGGACGGCAAACGTAATCTCGATAACAAATGCAATCTCATCCACGAAGTGCAATCACTGCATGACTACCCACCACTGGAATTAATCCTTTGCTGGCGAGATGACATTGGTATAGGTGGGATTATGTTGCATTCGTGAGCTTAAAAAATGCCTGTTATTCATTGAGCTTACCGGCAGTGACGCTGTAACGCGAAGGATTGGCATTTTCTTTGAAACAATGAGCAGCAGTGACTATCCATCTAGGCTTGATGATGCTGCCACCACAAAAATGAAAACCAGCATGTTTGACTTGTATCGTTATCTGCCACGGCCATTGACCTACAGTAGTTACGTTCGTTCCACCTACAATTCTTCCAATTCCTTGTCCTTTTGTTCCACACTCAATTTTCTCTGTAGTTTGTCAAATCAGCACGAATCAATATCTTAATGTATATACTTGATATTTTTCAAAAACCGAATAGTAGTGCACTTTTGATATTTTTTGTGACATTAGATAATTGATCGTGATTCTTGTAGCTTCTTTTGGTTTCTTTGAGCCTCAAAGAAAATTTCAGTTCAGAATTAATTACTTTTTATATACATTTATGCAACTGTGTCTATTTTCAATCTTTCTAAACCCCAACAAGGTCGTTAATTAATATTATAATCTGTACTTGTCAACTTAACTACGTGGATCCACCCAAGCTGAACATTAAAATAATTATCGAGACTGGAATCAGTCCTAATTGACAGCTATCGAACGAACTAATAGACCAAGATGTCGATTGGATTACAAATTTAAGGCGTTGACGTTTTCGTAGTAAGCCGGATGGGCATCAGTGAAATGTCATGCACTTACCTTCGGCGAAGCACGTGCACAGTGCACCCCCCAGAAGCAGTAAAGGTACTAAGAACTCCATCTCGTGAAATCTCTTGCTTTTGAATCCTGTCGATAAATGATCTAAATTAAGTATCTTTCAAACAAACTGTAATAATTGATTCGACGCCTCACACACCCATCAAAAATAAACGTCTTTGCTGAGTTTGAATTCCAGAAGTGCTTAACGATTTAATGGTTGTGGGGACCCACCCGTCAAACAAGTGAAAATAACATATTCAAGGTTTTTCTACATATTGGAAGTAAAAAAAGTGTATTTTACGATACAATTTTCTTTCATATATAATTATATGATTAACACAATATTACATGGTCGCTTGGCCGATATGCAGAATTATATCTGATGAGTTGAAATTAAACGTCTCGCTAGTTCGCTACGTTCACTCGTGAGAAATAGTTTCAACACTTGAAGATAATAACCGTATCTTCGCACACCCAAGGAATATTCTCTATATACTTTTAATTATGGATATATTGTAAGATTTGACCTTACATGTAAAACCAACCGATGGAAACGGAATGAGAATATCCGTTAGCAATTCGAAAGTGACCTCATTTTTCATAAACAGTATTTAACGTAGGTAAATTCAGGGCAGACGTATAAAACTACAGTACAAAAACACGGAAAAGCTAGTTAAGGTGGTATGATACCCAAGAAAGAAGAAAATTTACAACATTATTTTCAAGTTGATTTTGCCTAAAAATTGCATGTAATTTGACTGGAATAATGATTGATAGTGCAGTAGTGCAATGAACCTCAAAGATCTTGACATTGTTACAATGCTCAGTAATATCAAGGCTTTTTATCAAAGGACGCTTCACCTAAAATTATAAGCTTTTTGTTTGTTTACTTGTTTAATTTTTGTTTATGTAAACCATATAACAATGTTAGGTTCATTGCATACATTGAGATATTAGCATTAAATATTATTAGTTTGGATTGTATTCCAATTATAGTTTCAGAGCTGTTACAGTAAGTGCCTTATAATCATGTATTTCGGGTGTGGCTTGGTTACCATAGCAACAACGAGTGCAAAAATCGGTCTCAATAAGGATAATGATATGTGAAATAATACAATGGCTAAGTCTTTTCCTTGAAATTATTGTTATCTTGGGTATCATACCACCTTAAGATACGAACGAGACTAATACGATTTACAAGCAAATAGTGAAAACAAAGATTTACCGACTGTCCCACACAAAGGCGATACTCCTAGGTACAAAAATATAGTGCAATTTCGCAGTTCCACCAAAATTGATATCTATGATCGCAATATACGCAGTTCGCAGTGACTACAACTTGAAGAGATGAGAGAAAACTAAAACTAAGCGAATTTACATGTACACAACACTCGTGGGACAGTACGAAAAGCTAATAGTACGAAGAACTAAAATACACGCGGGAAAACTAAAATGACAACGGAAACAAAATGCTTTTATTCGAAATTGATATTTCTTACGGACTGTCAGGTTCCGCTTTAGTGATAGCTGACATTTTGTTACTCTTAAGTTTGATATGCATTGGATGCGCGTTGTATAGCCATACTTCATTTAGTACACTTAGTTTCCTCGTTTCAACTATTTTCTGCAACTTCACAGCATCATGATTATATTTCTTTCTCGTATGAAGTACAAAACATTGTAACTTCCGAAAATTTACGTAGTTGGATGTTTTTTTACCTCTCCGAACTGGCCACACTGACACTTCTATAGTGTTTAGTGCTATCGCTTTTGATGAACTTTTTCCCTGCTTCTCAGGCCATATTGCTAGACTATTTCTATCGCAAAGTACTTTTTCTAGTAAATTCAGTAAAGGTTGATTTGTAAAAACTATGAAAATTCCCGTATTGAAAACTTTGTTCGTCCTTATTGACTGCATTTTCTTGTCTTGACTTAATAATCTCTGGAAGTAGGACTAAGATTTTAAATCAATCAGGTGCCATGCTATTTGTGTACGCGCTGTGATAATTGGTGGCCTAAAAATAGATTATCGGAACATGTGATGGTGACTGAATTATTACCGTGATGGACACGTCTGGTTATGTACTTCTGATACTATTATTTTATTGGTGCAGGGTACACTATGTCGTCAGTAGCACCATGGGGGGGTTGATCGATTCGTCGTGAAATCAAATCTTTCAAGCCTTCTCCTTTAACGTCAAAAAAATAGCGAGAAATGCTCGCAATTGTGTTCTTTCTATTGTGACGTCAAGAAAGTATATTTGATCTCTTTAATAGGTGCTAAACTTATAAATATTCCTTTGTTTTAAAGTGAGTGCCTCCAGCCTACTGTAGAGAAAACAAAGCTCTTCCAACGTGACTTTGTTATGTTTATTGAATACAGTAAGGTTATTGTAAGTCAAACCCTTTACCATAAGGAATTATTTTAACTATTAAAAAAGAATATTTGACGTTATTTAACCCTTTTAAGATTCCTTTCTTTCTATTAGAAAACCTTTTCTACTTAAGGGAGATTCGAGTGTTTAATAATTCTTTTGGTGTCTTTTATCTAATTACCCATGATTATTGTTAATTTAATTCACACTATTTTCACTATATGATTGATTAGTTAATACTAATTAATTATTATTAAGCTATCTGCTTAGGTTAAAATTATATAATCCGATCAACTAGCCCAAAACTACAGTGAATGGCTTACTTACCTTGGTACCTTAGAACACGACGAGATCAGCTGAACTCTACCTGGATTCTCCCTTTCGATGATTTAAATCAAGTTCAAACAGGTAACATCACATATTTCATGTTGTCTGTCATGAATTATAGATAACCGGCTAAATGGTTCATTGGTCAGCAGTACTTGCTTTGATGGATTTCGATGGACTCCAGTTCATTATTTTCAGAAAACAATAAAATATACTTTGCGAAGAGAGCGTCTAATATTTGTGGCAGAAATTTGTTGTGTTAGGAAATTTAGATATATGTATATTCGTACCGAAGGAGAACAAAACAGACAGTCGAGAGAATTTGGCATGAGAAAATGGAAAAAACTGAAATTCCATCGCGAGCTTCGTCGGATATAAATCTCGGTAGTAAAGAGAGTTGAATTCGAATGTCCATTCGATATTCGATGTGATCTCGTTTGATACACGATCGCGTCGAATTAGGAGGAGCCGCCGGGTTTTTGGAGAACTATATATCTGTTGTGATGTCCCAGCGAGCTTTAAGTCACAACTGGTTACGGAAATTCAGGAAAAAAGAACTCTCCAGGCAAGGTATACTTTCTAAACAATTTTGGCCAGGATGATAAAAATTACCTAACTAGAAAAATATAAGCCGTTTTTGACTATAAAAAGTTTATATAAGCCTTTTTTGTCCTTAAAAACGTTTGCCAGGAACAAAGTTATCTTAAGAAGGAAGGCGCTAAATTTGAGATTGTCAACAATGTAGCGAAAAATCCCTTTCCCAGGCGAAACATCGTACAACAACATTCATTTACAAGAACAGACCCTGTCGGCTCCTCCTGTGTCGAATGCCTTTTAAGAAACGTTTATTTAATAAAATCATGTTCCCTTTTAAATTATTAGATTAGACATTGATTGATGTAGAATACTCTAGGTTGTCATTAACGGCATAAAGGATTGATTGATTTGTCCTGAAAACAAATCTATCAAATCTTAGTCCTGTAACATTATTGAAAGAAGAGTAATGAGAAAAGGTTGGAATTGTGTTACATCTATTGGGACGTGAAGAAAGTAAATTTGATCCTGGTAAACAGGCGCTAAGCTTTTGCCAATTGCCTTGTTTCGTCTGGAGTGAGAATCCTGTCGATCATTCAAATCAAGTTCAAAAACAGGTAACACAACCTGTGTCTGTCATGAATTATAGATAACTTGTCGAAATGGTTCATTGGGTGAGAAGTGCTCACTTTGATTGATTACAATGGACTTCCTACGATCAACTAGCCCAAAACTACAGTGACTTGCTTACGTACCTTGATGTCTAGCACACGACGAGATCAGCTGAACTCTACCTGGATTCTCCCTTTCGATGATTTAAATCAAGTTCAAACAGGTAACATCACATATTTCACGTTGTCTGTCATGAATTATAGATAACCGGCTAAATGGTTCATTGGTCAGCCATGCTTGTTTTGATGGATTTCGATGGACTCCCTCTTATTTTCAGAAAACAATAAAATGTTTCTTTACAAAGAGAACGTCTAATATTTGTGGCAGAAATTTGTTGTGTTAGGAAATTTAGATATATGTATATTCATACCGAAGGAGAACAAAACAGGCAGTGGAGAGAATTTGGCATGAGAAAATGGAAGGACTGAAATTCCATAGCGAGCTTCCTCGGATATAAATCTCGGTAGTAAAGAGAGTTGAATTCGAATATCCATTCGATATTCGATGTGATCTCGTTTGATACACGATCGCGTCGAATTAGGAGGAGCCGCCGGGTTTTTGGAGGACTATATATATATTGTGATGTCCCGGCGAGCTTTAAGTCACAACTGGTTGCCAGCGGAAATTCAGGAAAAAAGAACTCTCCAGGCAAGGTATACTTTCTAAACAATTTTGGCCAGGATGATAAAAATTGCCTAACTAAAAAATATATAAGCCGGTTTTGACTATAAAAACTTTACCGAAAAATCCCTTTCCCAGGCGGAAAATCGTACCACAACATTCATTTACAAGAACAGACCCTGTCGGCTCCTCCTGTGTCGAATGCCTTTTAAGAAACGTTTATTTAATAAAATCATGTTTCTTTTTAAATTATTAGATTAGAAATTGATTAATGTAGAGTACTCTAGGTTGTCATTAATGGCATAAAGGATTGATTGATTTGTCCTGAAAACAAATCTATCAAATCTCAGTCCTGTAACCTTATTGAAAGAAGAGTAATGAGAAAAGGTTGGAATTGTGTTACATCTGTTGGGACGTGAAGAAAGAAAATTTGATCCTGGTGAACAGGCGCTAAGCTTTTGCCAATTGCCGTGTTTCTTCTGGGGTGAGAATCCTGTCGATCATTCAAATCAAGTTTAAAAACAAGTAACACAACCTGTGTCTGTCATTATAGATAACTCAAAAATAGTCAAAATAGTTCATTGAGTAGTGCTTGCTTTGATTGATTTCAATGGACGTCCTCATTGCTCGGCCCGAAGGTCCAAGAGTTTAGTTCTGCAGATTGAAATCCGAAAGGGCAGAAAAGTAATATCTCATAACTACGCACGCTCGTCAAAATTCGCTTGAGCGCGAACACGGTCGAACTTTGGGCGTTTCAATTTTCCGCCGAGTAACGACGAGTAACGATCGAATGGCTCTTTTCAGTATCCCTTCGGCTTTTTTCGGAAAGTCAAACAATTTCGGAAGCACATGGAAGAATCTGAAGATCTTCTACCGAAGGCTGAGAATTTGCATTGGTTTGCTTTACTAAGGTAAATCTCAATCTATACATCATGATCTAACTTGCAGCTGAGACGTTAAGCTGTGTCACCGTTGCGCAGCTTTTGTTGGTATTGCTAAATGAAAGTCAGTATACTTTCCATGATCTATAAAAGCACATGCGTTTATTGCAAGGTACATGTCAGTCTTTAATCTTAAGTTATATAATGCTTGAAATCACTAAATTGTATTTTATGTGATAGAAGGTCATGCACGTTGCTAAATTTGGATACGACATTTGCTCTTATATCTCATTAACTATTAATCTGATTAAATTTGATAACAAAAGCAGTGCATAAACATTTCTTCACTAGTGAAAAAAATAACAAACACAAAGACAAACAAACAAACAAAAAAAACAATTCTCTAATATGGAGGATATGTCTAGATATCCTCTATATAAGAATGACGGATATGTAACATTAAGTGAATTAGTATGATAAAACTAATTAGGTATATGGTTGCCTTAGCAAAAAACTGCCAAGAATATTTTTAAAGTAGTATCAAACAGTGTAGTATTATTGGGTTCCCTGTTTTATTACTTGTGGATTACCTTTGTAATCGAGTGACTAGTCTAGGCTTTGGTAGCCTTTAAAGCAAGTTCTTGTGCTCCACTTGGTGTGTTGTTTTCTCCTCTCTACACTAATAGTACATGGTGGCAGTGTTTTTTAAGCCCTCGAAATGCCTGAAACACCACCAGATCCACAACCTCTAATTCAAGTTACCCTACCGGAGAAGTTTCCAAGCKGGAAAAATGCCCTCGAACAGGTAGAAGCGTGGCCAAAGTGGATTCGTCGMTTTGAACGTTATCGCGTTGCCTCAGGCCTCAAAAATAAGCCCGAACAAGAGCAAGTCAGTACTCTACTCTATGCCATGGGAGACTGTGCAGATGAAATATTAATTACACTTCGTTTGGATGAATCAAAGTCGAAGCACGACGAAATGAAAACAGCTTTTTACAAACACTTTGAAGCCAGGAGAAATGTCATCGCTGAAAGAGCTCGTTTCAACAGACGCATCCAAAAACCTGGTGAGTCTATTGATAATTTTATACAAGACTTGTATAGAAGCCGACGAATGCAATTATGGAGTGTTAAAGGACGATCTCATACGAGATAGAATTGTTGTTGGTGTTATTGACGAAGGACTGTCAGATCGCCTTCAACTTAAAGCTGAACTTACACTAGATTTAGCAGTCCAAATGAGCCGACAAAATGACGTGAGAAAAGAAAACCGAGGAGTTGTGAGAGGGGACATGAATAACCCTGCATCTGTTTCCGATGTGAAGAAAAAAGAGACAAAAAGTAGTAAAAAACCCTCTAGCCTGAACAAAGAAAAACACACATGTAGCAGCACCCCTAAGCCAGGGAATAAGGATCAGTTGCGTCTCAATGCCCATGTTGTGGTTAAAAACTTCATGAGCGTCAGCATTGCCCTGCTAAAAATGCCACTTCCCACTCTTGTAAGAAATGAGGACATTTTAAAGACGTCTGCAAGTCAGACAAGAAAATAGTCAATGAAATTGATGATGAATTTGCCTTTTTGGGGAGGGCTGTTTGTCTTCTACAAAATTCTAGAATGCTGAAGTATACTGTAACTCAAACCCTACTACATTTAAGCGAGACACGGCTGCAGGTGTAACACTTATTAGTGACAAAGAACAGTGGTTGAGCAGTCAATCATTAGATGAGAGCAAATCAGTGTTAAGAGGACCGGGTAATACCCATTTACCAGTAGTAGGTACCTTCAAGCAACACTAAAGTTCAAAGATAAKCAGATTAAAGAGACGGTGTATATCATGAGGGACCAACCCTAATCCTTACTTACTAGGGAGGCATGTGTCAAACTAGGGCTGATCCAGAGGGTGTGTGAAAGCGTCCAGGAAGCAAACTCAACCCCTAATTTCAGACATAAGAGTATCCTAGTCTTTTTCAGGGCCAAGGGAAGATGAAGACTACATACAGAATATCCCTGAAAGAAGACAGTAACCCCGTGTGCCTCTAGCACCCAGGACGATTGAGCATCCCCTACTACCTAAGGTCAAAGATGAGCTTGATCGTATGCTGAAACAAGACGTGATCTCAGCGGTAACAGAGCCAACCAGTTGGTGTTCTTGTGTGGTGCCTGTCCTCATGGCAAACGGCAATGTACGTATCTGCGTGTATCTAGTGCAGCTAAACAAATGTGTGTAACGAGAAGTATACTCTATGGCCTCTGTAAATGAAGGTCTAGCCAAACTTCTTGCGAGCAAGGTGTTTACAAAGCTCGATGCAAATTGTGGGTTCTGGCAGCTGCCTTTAGACAAAG